TGCTTTTACTGGATAACATGTCAGTTATTCTATTATTTCCTTGACAGTTGAGATTAGCGACCAGGGTTTTAGAGACTGATTAAATTCGGTCGCTCAAGTAAATAGCGACCGATTTTTGCAATTTAGCGACCGATTTTGGTGGTCGCTAAATTGCATATTTTTTGTAGTAGTGTCATGAACTCTCACTATAATATAATAGGATTTTCACCCAAAAACAACTCAACTTTTCATCTCAAACTTATCAAATTCTTCTCCAATTCAACATGTCACTACCAATTCAACATATATACAATTTGTACAACTCATATTCATCAAGAATTATAGCATGCCACATCAATACATCTGAAAATCAATCATTCTTCTTACAACCACCAAGAAACTTAAAAATCTTAGAACAAGGTTCAATCTTTCAACTTTTAACATCCATGGAACCTAAGACATGAATAACACAACAAAATTAACATACATCAAATCTTCCATGAACAATGTAAGCAAGAAGAAGGAAATCTTGAGACTCCAAACTCTCGTACGATGACTTCTTCTGATTTTTAGTTCTTCAGTTTTGAATCTCTTCTTAATTACGACATATATGCTCTTTGAGATGAATTAGAGCACTTCTATGAAATTAGAAAAAAGAAAGATCTCCATCACTTCCTTTAATTTTAGAGTCTATTTCTCTAAAACATCGGTAAATGAATTTATAAGTTGAAATTATTAGAAAACTTTATATATTTTTTCTCAAACTTAGTCAACTTTAACTTTAATACAAAACAACTTTAAATAATTAAACTCTTAAAAATTCTTTAATCCTAAAAATTCTAAAACACAAAACATTAACATCAACATAATTTGATTAAATATTGAGATTTAAAATAACCAAACAACTCACACCATAACACTAAACATAATGCTGAAAAGTTATAAAATAATTTATGTAAAATATAAGAAAACACAAAAGTATAAACTTTTCCCTCTACTCACACCATTTCGTAAATTGATTCGTTGAAAAATCTCCCAAACACTTTCTTGTCATCCATATATACCATATTGTAGGTTATAAAAAGAATACCAAATATTGTATGTATAATTGCCAAATGATAAGCTTACAATATTATACCCTAATAATTTATTTCAAGTAATTTTATATTTATTTTCAACGCTAATGTAGGAAATTTGATATTTAACATAAATCAATTTATCTTTAGCATGAATTTATAATGTGAACAGTTAACAAATTACATAAATATCTTTTAGACGTAGACTATATTGAAAAACATAAATTTAATGGTTAACATTATTTATTTATTTATTTTGTAGAATATAATGTTTTCTACAATGATAAATATCACGGTCGGCTCAAGGCATGACTTATAAGCAATTAGTGCCTATGCCTTTGGCCCCACTTTTGAAACTATAAAAAATAGTAATATATAGATAAACAATAAGAAAAAGAGATGTTTGTTAAAAATGATATTAAATTATTTTTTATAAATTGATATTATCATTTGAAAATCAAAATATATTTTAGAACTCTTGTTAATTAGCTTTCATCTATTTTATAGAGTAATAATTAATAGTTCATTATATAGAATTTAATGTGTCTTATGTTTTCAACAAAGAAGTATATTTTGGCAATATCTTTAATTAATTTATTTAGCAAATTAAAAAAAAAAAAAGGAATCCTTAGGATTTTAAACATTAATTAGGATATAATTTTAAAGAATATACTGTTCGAATGTTGATTTTTATTTTATTTTAAAAATGTCACTTATGTTGATATTCATGGTTTGAATTTATTTCTAGATTTAAGAATTTTAAAAATATATTATAAATATATGTAAATTCAAACATCACTTAAAATATTAAAATTAAAATATTTTCTAATTCATAATAGCTTTCATCCATTTTATAGAGTAATAATTAATAGCTTATTGTTGAATTTAATGAGCCTTATGTTTCCAAAAAATGAAGTATATTATTTGGCAATATCTTTAATTTATTTATTTAGTAAATTCTCGAAAACAAGGAATCCTTAGGATTATAAACAATAATTAGGGATATGATTTTAAAGACACGTTGTTTGAACGTTGATTTTTTTTAAATGACATGTATTTAAGATATTCATGGTTTAAATTTATTTCTATATTTAATAATTTTATAAAAATATGTTATAAATATAGAAATTCAAGGCATCACTTAAAATATTTCAGACATACGGGAATTAGTTTATAGAATGTTAATAACTATTTCCATTCCTGTACCTTTATATCATAAATTAGTCAAAGATAATACTCATTAAAACAAATTAAAACAAATAACAGACTATTGATTTTTTTATTTTAAATTTTAGTTGATACTTATCCAAAACTATAAAATAAATTTGTTAAAATATTGATATCATTTTATCAAAAATATTTTTAAACCTCAAAAGTAATGCTCGATCGGACATAAACCCCCAATTACTTATATCTTATTACTAAATATAAACATGAACATCAGGTCGATGAAACAATTGCACAAAGTTCAAACATATTCTCTGAAAATGTGTATTTTATAAAATTTATATATACCCCCTCAGAAAAAAATTATATATATATATATATATATATAAGAAAATATTAAACTTAAAAAAGTCTAGCTTTAACATATTTTCACCTTTATTTGATATGAGTATAATATGTTTTGAAGAAGCGGTCAAAAAAATATATTTTGAAGAATACAAACTCCAAATAAGTTATCAAACTGTCAAAATCCTGTATCTGATTCTATATATTTCATCCTCTCATAACTTTTGGTCATGTAGTGCATCATGGTATTAGTACAATTTAAAATTTTAAATATAGGAGGAGAATAATCAAATTTAAATATATTTAAAAATATTATTTACTTATTTATAATTGTAATAAAAATATTTTTATAAAATATAGGACAAAACTAAAAATAAAATAAAATACAACTAATAGAAAATGGAGTGTCGGATTACAAATTATATATCTCATGTAGACCTCCAAGATTAGCGAGAAAGCAAGCATTCAAAATTTCTTCCTTGTAGATGAGGAAAACTTTTACTTGCCAATCTCGAGATATCAAAGATTTAATTTTATGGCCAAAACTTCTCTCTCAGACGCTACCATGAAAGGAAGTTCCAGTAAAATATTCACCACCACCTCAAAATTCAACTTAAAGCATATTCAGACTTTCAAGAAATATATATACCCATAATTCGGAAATTTAACCTGATGTAGCTGTGCAATTCAGTTTTTTTTATAAAAAAAACATGTATCTATTCCATTGACTACATATCAAAACTTACTTTTAAGGCTCAAAGATTATAATAAATTACTAAAATAAAACTATTTTTATCATGCCATACTAAAATCGTTGAGTGACGTGGTAATTTTTAGCATCATCTTACTTTTTTTAGAAAAAAAAAATAGACTATATCGATCTCTCATGATATATATGTCACGTTGGACATAGTTCATTTTCTTTTCTCTAATAGTTTGTCATGTAGATGTTATTTAAGTGACTTCTTTGAAAATTTAAAAATAATAAAATATAATATATAAATAATATACTATAATAACTTGATATTAAATAAAAATTAAACTTATATAATATATTAGTGATAAAATAAATAATTAAATAAAGTTGTATAAAATAATATATCTATAAACATATTCATTATAAAAATAATTAAATCAAATTAAATACAAAATTTAAAACTAAAATAAATAAAGTTTTCCTTCAAAAGAAAAATGTTACTCATGATGAGTAGTTACAAGCTAAAATTACATTATATTTTTAACCGGTTTCTTCATTAATTAATATATGAATAGTAGAATACAGTATTTTTCGGCCTTCATTAATAAAATAATCATGAACATGAAAATAAAATAATAACGAGAGATTTAACTTTTAAAGCAAGATTTTTTCTTCTTCATGATATTGAAAATCAATCAGATAATGCGAATAGGAGCTAATATATTTGGTAAAATCTTCTGTAACTTGAAATTGATTCTCAAAACAAATTTGATTGAAAAATGATATGTAAATTTTTACATTTTTTTAACCATAAAACTAATACAAAGTATTCGCAACTAATCTTCCTCAAGACGTTAAGCTCATACAATATGATACGTAACTTCATGATTTTGAGATTAATGAATTTATTTTTACCATATAAAAAATTCATCGCGGATAACTTTTAACCAATAAAATGTTTTATTTTTTTCTATTTATATATAGAAAAAATTGATGTATATTATAGATTTATTAATAAATCATTAGTATAAATAATACTGAACTCAATTTCTTTAATTAAATAAAATTTTAAATTTAAATTTTGTGTATAAAAATATAATTAAAAAAAGAAAATCTCACTAAAGACAATTAATTAGAAATGATTAAAAAAATATGAAAAGAGTATTATAGACGTAATTAATATTGAATATTGAACATTAATATAAAAAAAGAATTAAATTTTATTAATTTCCTAATAAATGAAAAAAGTGAATTGACTAGGAGCATATATAAGCATGGATGTAATAATTTTATCTAAAAAGACCTATGACGGCACCAACGTTAGGCAAGTACTCTGTTTAAGAAAAGAGAAGACATTAGGTCTATTTTTCTCAGGGAAAGAGTAGAGAAGAAGACGATGATGA